GGATTGAATTCATTTTGTGCGGCGTAAAATGTTATAATGAGATGAATAATCAAATAATGGAAATAGAGCACATTCTATAAATACAGTGTATCTGTCCCAGTTCAAAAGCTAAAACCTCCAAAGTCCTCGTTTCTAGGCCAGTTAGGTCTTTACGGACAAACAAGGGATGTCCCATTTCAAAGGTCTGACAAACCATGATCATCAAAATGAGCTAATATTTGCATTTGAGCAATACGTTTTATGATTTGAAGCCCACAGTATAACACAAATGACTGTGCAGCCAAGTGGTTGTGGCACCACTGCTAGGTTGTCAAACTGTAATATGAAACTGAAAAAAAAAATTAAGGAATAAAAAAATTTAAGAATTAAAGTTTAAAAAATAAGATCTAGGCCCATTTTTATCAAACCTCTTAAAATCACTCTTAAGAAGGCTGTTAAGAATGAACTGAAGTGTAAAAAAMTCTTTGCTAAAAGCTGAAAGTCAGTTATCAAGGGTCTCAGTCTCACTTMAAGCGAAGTGTTTGAGTAAATCTTAAGTGTCGATCTTAGAGATGATTTACGACACTTTGCTGCGCCCCAAAGTGGATCCTGGCTGACGTCACAAAACCCCCGGCACTTCACTTCACGACTTATCACGTTGTACATAAAATGTCCTCATTTGCATCATGAATACAGACATATAAAGAAAATCTCACTGATTTATTATTTTTTAACTCAGCTTTAAAGTTCTTATGTCTCAGACCAACACCCACTTTACATACACCGCTCCGTCATTAGCTGCTTGGTCTGAGAGTCCTGTGCTCCATCATTGTATCGTGTGAGAGTGCTACGGATTGTTTTAATGAAATTTACAGATTCTGTGAAGTTTGAGTTAAAGAAAGAAAATAAAAGGAAAGTTCAATCCCACCATAATAGGGGGACATATGCACTCATTAGCTGTTTATTATTCGCCATTTACTCCAACATTATGGCACTGGTAATAGTATTTTTTACCCTTCTTTCTTTTGTATTGCATGACTAAACCTGTTTCCARACCTTATTTTAGTTCCTTTTAAATGAGAATAACACTCAGGTGGGGAGGAGGACAYCTGTGTTATCTGTGTGATCTGTGTTCTCAGTCCATCTCAAACACCTGGTAACAACTCTTAACCCCTAAGAGTCCTCTAGAGCCGTATCTGGGACAGTAAGAGTGATTCTTATTAAGAATTTGATAACTGGCATTTACACAAGCCTGAGAATAGGAGCAAATCTAAGAATTGTTCGACACTTAGGTCTAAAATTGCACTCTAAGAAGTCTGATAAATATGGGCCCAGATTTGTGAGGCTAACCCACTATCTTTTAGAAAACACTTGAGTGCTTGTAACAATTTTTTGTCAATGAAATTATTTTATAGTTTTGTCAGATGTGTTGATGTGAAAGTTGTATCATACATAATGGTAACGTGAAGTCCCTTTTTCTCAAATTGTCTGAGAAGAATTTGATGAGAAGTTTAAAGTCCTTTCACTTGCAGGTCTGTTTTTATATGTATAAGGCATGCAAGTATAGGTTCCACTCAAGAACAACGCATACAACTAGTTTTATGCTGTTAGAAATAACAAAACGTGGAATGAAAACACGACTTACACAAAATGCAGTTGCATTTATATAAAAAATCATTATGAAACCCTGATTAAAAAAACATAAAAAGGACAGAATTTACAGTATGTGCAATTATGTTATAAAACACACGCAGCATAACAAAGATGCTCAAGATCAATCAAAGTAAATGTGTCAGCATAAATTTTGTGTTTTTAGTGAGCAGTTCGTATCAATGATTACACTACTTCTGTTCATATCCCAAACAAAATCTTTTAACAATAAACAGTTCGACCCTTGATCATGATTCATTCTCTTCTTGTGACTGTTTGATTCAGTCCACATGTGCTGCTTTCTTCTGCACCTGCTGCACAACAGTGTTTGCTACATACAATTTAACAGTCACCTCTAAGAGAGATGAAGAACGGCATTTTAACTCTGCCCATCGCTGCCAGTTACAGTCCTGCATTTTCTAACATTGATGCATTGGTTGGATAACATTACTTGAATGCTAATACCGTGGTTTTAACCTCGCGCCGGGATTACAACCTATTGCATGTTGCTCAGGGCTTCTCAGCTGGTGCACTGGGTGAGAAGTTGGGTAACATGATTTCCCCAAAGAACAACAAGTGAAAATAGGTGAATTAGAATTCAAACAGCTAAAAGCCCCTGCGATGGTTGCCAGCTGAGAGCACCAGCAGGTTCTCTCTTCCACAAAATTGCCTTTATTTTTCCARAGAGAGATCCATTTCAAAGTCTTARGGTGACTCWCAACTGCTCTCGTTGCTTTTCGATTCATGACCATATAGTGCTCTGTATGCACTGCTATTAAAGCATCATGTGCAGTAATCTGTCAAAGCAAACTTTCAAAGGCAGAAGCTTAGTTTTACCCCCAAACGGTTACACATAACATGTGAAAATAAGTGGGACTTTAGTGTAGTAAACAAAAAAACATATAAATAACACACTGTCAGAAACATATGAACAAATCTAAAATGTAAATAAAAGTAGTCACAGAATATAAGTGATGCTGTACTCAAGACAGTAGGAATCAGTATAAAGTTCACATTTCCATTGAGCTGCACATTGTACAAGTTAATCCACCGTGATATTATGGCACTAATCTATCTTCCATTATATTTTTATTTCAATAGGTTTAATATCCCTTTATGATTCTGCAACTCTTGCCTCAGCTGGCGCTCATCTGGACGATTATTATTCCCCATAAAACCTGAGAGGTGGAGAAAACACTGTGCCAGGGCAGCATCTGTGCTTTGTACAGTAGTAAATCTTCAGCGCTGCTAATCAGAATCTTTAATATAGAGGCACAACGTTGTGTAACAGTGCTTGTGTGTCAATATATTGTGATAAAGTACATTTTCTGGCAAGTCCAAAGAGCTAATTCTGAGAATTACAACTATATATTTTTTCTCTCTACAAGGTGTTCTTTATGACTTTTAAGACATATTTGCACTTCCCAAATGCTCAAAATTAACACTCCCTCAATATATCTCAGTGTACATTTTCAAAACAGAGTTTTCGTTGTGCTTTGGAGRTTGATAGACCTTACATTAAATATTGTGACAAAAACAAAATCAAACGGCAGCTGCATGTCCTCTGATGATAAACGTCTCCACATCACTGTAGTAATACAGACTATGGTACAAATATTTGTAGTAGGATTATATAAAAGATAGTTAATGTTACTCTAAATGACAACATTTGTCTTAAGATGCTGGGATGCATTAAAAACAGCAAACCATTAAAGACATAGACCACAGGGATGAAACTTGGATAAGCTGTCAGGTAGTTCTGCCACTCCATCACCTCCTRGACCTTTAATCAGGAACAGTTTTCTCTTTTATTGTATTTTTTTGCTTTTGTTTTGTCTTTTTTGCAAAACTAACTTGACTAATAAAATGTGCTTGTACATAYAGAAATTGTGCATTCAAAAAGTCCTAATAAGTCATAAAAATGAGAAGCTCAGTGACTCATGACTAAATGTTATTTTGTGAAATGCTGGGAGTGGGAATGGTTTGGATTTTAGGAAAGTTGCCTGTTTTACAAAACAAATAAAAGTGAAAACATAAGCTAAACAAGATAAAATAGACTTTGAAATACATGTTTGCGGAGTTCAACTCTACATCGAAAATCTGGTGCCTTTGCCAACATAACAGAAAGTCTAATGCTACAATATTAGATTAACATTTTTGTTCGGTGATTAAAAAAATCCCTGATTATCTCAACGTGTCACTCATTTTAAAAATTAATCAATCTTTACAGTGATAARACTTCTTAGTTTGTAAAATGTTGATACAATTTAAAATGTTTGATATTGTACATTACTGCTGCATCATGATATGT